GCAGCTATTAACAAACTCATCGTACTTACTTAAGCATAAAAAACAGAAAGAAATCCGCATTCAATTTGAAAGAATGCCTAGGAAGCTTAATTGTGCTTGCGTGTAACATATCAATTATAGATCATTTTTATGATAAACCACAGGCTGAAATAAATGTTTTGTTTCTTAATGAGTATGGTATGGTTTATATGCTGTATAAAAGGCTGACGTTCTCCATTTCGCATGTATTTGAGCAGAAACCGATATGATGATTCACTGATTTCTCTGATTTATACATAAATACGCGTGACATACCAAATTGTAGCGCACATTTTATTGTTTATAGATTCGTTATTGGTGTAGCAAGTCTCTTGCTTCTGTTTTTATATTAGTACATATTATATATAAAAATTTTACTTACACTTTGAAAGCCACAGATTTTACTGGAACTGGTCACATTTTAATAAATTTCGCGTTTCGTTCTCTTCTCGCGTAGCAAAGCAGTGATAATATTTCTCTAATGATTACACTTTAATTGTACTTTTTGTAATGTATTATACATATTAGTTTTTATATGTAAAATGTGAGGTTAATAAAGAAACTTTGTATTTCTTTTAACTTCCGTATGGTAATATGTTATATTAGAAGTAAAACTGGGTAATTCCATCTATCAATTATTAATTTTACTTACGATGCTCATAATTGTTCTTTAGATAAACATTTGTCGACGGTGTTAGAGAAGAAGTCCAAAACTATAATAAAAAATAAATTCATATTACTTAATTAGATTCAGTATAATGAATTATAAATAATTTAGATTCAGAATAATGAATTATAAATAATTGTCATTGTTTTAAAAATGTGACTCGTTAAACGTACCAACTAAAAATAAAAGAAAATTATGGTAACAAAAACAAATGGTAATTACAGGGGTTGTTGGGTTCTTATAATTGAAGAGCTACAGTAATCCGGAATGTGTCGTACTTAATCTCTCGAAATGTTCATTTGCCTATTAGAGTGTAACAAGAAATTGATTATAACACGACACGATACAAAATTAATGTGTGATGTTTCTTAAAATAAGTACAAGATAATGGAATTGTTTTTCTTTAGAAAGATTGCAAGTCATCCAATAGTTTCCGTGTCAATGATTTGCAAACGTTGTTTTTACAAATCTTCCCAATATTTGTATAATATTGTATTTTTTAAAAAAAAGTTTGGTACCTTCCATACATGTTGCCTAGAAATTTTGTATATAGAATATTAAGATTTACCTTACATACAACTATTATAATATTCAAGAAAGATAGTGAAACAAAAGATTATTTTATAATTATGCTACCTTAACGATTGAATTATTTAAGCCTTAATTATAAACAGTTGTAGCCAGAGTATGCTTGGACGTTATTAAATGTCAGTTAAATTGGAATGAATGTAAATTTTTGTTATGTAATAAGCTATTTCTCATGAGAAAGGGCTCAAAATAGACGCAATAAATTAAAATTTGTTTCAAGAATAAGGCAAGGTAACACATGAAAGCTCTAGCATTTGTGTCGCTTAATTATATTCAAATGTTTCTTGATTTCCAAGCGTTTACTCGGGCGAATAAGAAAAGGACCAGAGAGCCAGGGTGGGAGAGGTTTAAAATGAAAATCCAAAGGCAAAATGATAGTAACCGTATACGACAAATTGCAAACATATGTCACTTCAAATAAGAACACAAGACATACATCTTTTGTAACACAATGGGGCACCTTGGAACGGTCATCAGAGCAAAAACTTGAATACGCACCAAACATATCAGTTCTAAAATGATCTCATGAGACGAGACAATGTAAATAAAAATTTTCCGACCCAGCAAAATTACAAAAGTTGCTTTGGTTTCAATAGGTTAATTAAATAAAACTGTTAAAGGACTGCATATAGCAATTAATTTGCTTTTGACAAAAGTACTTAGTACTATAAACGCATTAAAAATACTTATATTTACTTATTTTTAGAACACCCATCATGAGTTGTAAAACTAGAGTCGTACGAAATATACACATTGTATTTGTATATAGTAGTAAGAGAATGTTTAACATATTATGCTTAAAAGACTAAGATGTTGCTTTGTAATGGTTGCGAAAGTATTGGGAAGGTAAAAGCTTTTTATCACTAACAATGTTTGTAACCGCCAGACAAATCCTTTTCTGTTGGGATTTTTTCTTAATTATTTCTACCAAAAGTGTAAAACTTGCATATTGTCATAATAAGGTATTTAATAAAACTTAAATCCGGTTTTATATGCTTAGATTGATCTGATAGAACTTTCTAGCTTAAGTACTTATTTTTACGATGCGAAAGTATTTAGAAGTGGAAAATTGAAACAGTGCATGAAGACCAATCTATTTCTCACAATCGCAGTTTCATATGCTTTAGATATCGGAAATTACATATTTAATTTTGGAAATGATTACATTTGTACACATTTAAGAAGTTTGATATATATTGATGCCAGATAAATTTTAAAAGTGGGGGCTACATTCGTTACGAAGTCAACCAACTTTAATTTATTCGCGCTTAAACTGTTTTACATAAAAACGAACTGTATGCATTGATGTATCTTTTTATATTGTGTGCCACTCGTACACTTGTACATGATATTAACTATTCTTAAGAAACTTTTATGTCGAGACATTAGAACTGAAAAATGTCTAAAGCAGAGAAAAGATTGACTTGTGAGATAAATATTATATCACATGTTTGTGTAAAGGTAATGTTATCTACTCTATATGTATTATAAAATACAACAGTACTGTAAAAGTGTATCTTTTTTCTCTGATTGACAAGATAAGTAAACGCTTAAAGTAACGTCTATATGTACAAACCATTAATATCTCTGAAAGGCTATAAATGTGTAATGGAATTAAACGTATTATTATGCAGCATTGTGTATTAATTTCGATATTTCACAATTGTTAAAGAATAATCTGTATGCGATGCAAAGATAATGATAATTCAGATTTTATTTAATACAACGGTACCAATATCTCTTCTGTTTAAAACAGAACTTCGTTGGAAACTATGTGATAGATTTTAAACATAACAGGTGTTTAAAGAAAATGTAACAAAATTAACAACATTTCATTACAAACACAATATATGAAATGTATAAAAATCAAGAGAGAATATGGATATAATTAATTAAAAAAATCATTTGATATGTGACTGCTTTAAATGGCGAACGAAATTTAATTAAAGACTTAAATACTTACAATCGTTGGTTTAAAAATAATTTTCCCCGTTAATATTATGGCTCATTTTGTTGAAAGAAACAAAGAGCATTCACATTCGACATCTCATCAATTGACCAAAGTAATCAAGATTGTTTTATTTGTTTTATTTAATACAGTTATACACTGCCGTCATTTTAACATTGTAAATTATTCAGCTTTAATAAAACCTGACCAAAGTTCTTGATGAAATATAGAGTATCAACAAATGTAAACTATTGTAAAAATGTGCTTGAAAATGTGTATAAATTCATCATTGTCACAGCGTAACTGTCAGTATAACGGCAACTGTCACAATAAACAACGGAATAAAGAAAGAAATAAATAACGTGTGCAAGGACATTAAGTGATTTAGAAACATTTTGAAAATTGCATTTACGATTTATACGCCATTTTTAACTGAATTTAGAAGAGCGTTATATTCTATTTTATCACTTATTTGACTTATGTCGGGAATAGATGATGTTTTAATGGAGTACTCTGCCTGAATAGTGATATAAATTTACTGAAAATTAATTTCTTTTATATTGTGCCTAATGTTAAGAGAAGATATGAATAAACGAAAAATGATATGATTTTCAACATTTGACATATTATTCAAATCATATTCCACTTATGGGTGAGGGGTTGCTTTAAAATGTTGAGGCATCAGCATTGCAATCATCGTTTAACCCTGCGTGATCGTGATCGTAGAAGGCGGCTAAAACATATGAATTTCAGGAGTTTATGCATCTCTTAGCTTCAGTAAATGGATGGTTGTGATCCCTGGTGTTGCTTTGTTTAAAAGGTAGAAATTAATGACTATTTCTTATTCAGAAATACACTTATTTTCTCGAGGTTAGACAAATTCATCTTTCCTGTTTCGGCGCCATATAACAAAACTTGTGTTGGTGCGCCGCAAAACCAAACAAAGTAAATTTAAGTCTGAAGTTCAAGGAAAAGTACCATTAGGATAACACTTGTATCAAGATAAAGAAAATCAACTGTCGACGATACAACAAACGACTGTTTTGTTTCTTGGTGGACAAGACATAAACAAAGTCAGGGCTAAATAATTATATGTAATAAAATGTTCCAATCAATCGTCTTGATTTATTATTGTTAATGTTCTTATTCTCGTAAAAGTCTGCTCAAATGTATTACTTTATAAGACAATGCAATGTTACATTTTTATTTAAATAGCAAAACAGAATATATTTGTTTTGTCGCGAAGTTTTTGAAACTTATTAACATGTATCACTTTTAGAAATTTTGAAATATAATGTGATTATACCTTTTGTATTTTTGTAAAGGAGGTACGAAGGGTGATGCAGAAAAGGTTCATATAACAAATACTATATTTATGCGTAAAATACCCTCATTAAAAGGAAACAAGGATTGTAACAATTAAAAACATCATACCTATCACATGCATATCTATGCAAGCAAATTAATATGCACACGACGCAGTATGAACGATGACATAATGACTAATACATATTTCATGAATTTTAACAATTCATCAATTATATTACTTTGATGTTACAATACACAATTATCAAATGTTTTATTCGTAGAAAAAACATGATAAAAAGTAATTGTTTTCCCATGATGATTCTTTTATCTTTTTATTACAAGTAATAAATTACACTGTATAAATACTAGTGGTTGTACGACGGAGTGACTTCTACATTCAAAGATGAAACTATACTATTTTATTGCAAATTAGAGTAAAATTAGATTTAAGATAATGCATTATCCCTTGAGGTTTGATGTTAAAAATTATGTATTAAAATGTTTCAAACACATAGAACATATCAAATTGATTGCAAACTATCTAAGTGAAGCATAATGATAAGCGTAATAAGTAGATAAACAGATTTCATGACGACAATTTTTATAAAAGGAAATTTCCAAATCAATGAAAATATTTCTTTTTATATCTAAGTCATTCATTTCTTTGAATTATATGAGTGTTAAAACTATATTAAAACGCTTAAAACATAAGAATTATATTCAATATATCCAGATGGCTCATTTCATCATGATAAGAAATGATTCTTTCTCTAAAAGTATCCTTAGCATATGTTACCATTTCATGATTTCCGTTATACAGCCTAAATTGCACATCTATATTTTAATTAAAGAAGACGGTTGAAATGTTTTAATCAGGAATAAAATAATTCAACGTTTGCATAATGTGTTAAAAAGGAAATCAGTTTCTGGAATGCATGAACGAATAATTATATATTTCCATGAAAGAGCCTAATGTTGCGAGTCCATAAGTAGAATTCTACTATAGCACAGAAATACACAATGAAACAAAAGCATGCTACACTTTCATCGAGAACAATCTTGTAAGGATAATATGTAATATATTATCATTTATTAAGTTTCCTTCTCCTCATTGCGATCTCTATTAAACAAAAGTAATTGAAACTATATACTTGAAATATGACAAGAGAAAGCACACTAATCTAATAATCTATAACAAAGTATCCCTAAAGGTCATGAAGCTTTATCTTATGAGATATTTAAAACAAAATATACATACATCCTTTTTTATCAAAATATATACAACAGTTTTACAATACACAGAAGCAAATATATAGTTTTATACACTTTAATAAACGTTTTGTTTATGTCTATTAGATAGCAGCAATGGAATTGGAATCGAATAGACATTTATGTTACTGAAACCGCAATTACATTTTTAGAAACACATTTAAATACCTTCATAATTAAACTAGTAATATGAAATAATTATTAAGTACATAATATTTTTGTACGCCAGGCCCAAGCCTTCGAGTAATTCTAAAAATTACTAGTATACACAACAGACAGGACAAACATCTAAACATACTACGTTTCTGCACAAAACACTGCACAATGCGTTGAAAACAATGCAGGCATGCTATATGCTGACCTAGGGCAACCAACTGAAGAAATAATCAGTATTGTATTTATTCGTAGTTATCAGTCTGTCTTCGACGCCGGAACCAAAGCAAAATTTCCAGACACACTTGTAAAATTTCAACACATGTAAGTACAGAGGCTCCAACAAAAAGTCCCATGGCGCCACCAATATCAGACAAAAACCTTTCCGTGTTGTACAGGGCTTGTTCAGAGATCACTTCGTACGTCAGGTCTTGGAAGTAAATGTACACGGCCAGAAAATTTCTTGATATTGCGTCCTCTTCTGCATCTGTCATTCCTTCAAAATGCACTGTGATCTTGTCACACACAGGTCGTGACGGGTCCCCTATATGTTCCAAACTTTCCGGTTTTCTTTTACAAATATCTGTTAACAGAACATTTCGGAGATAGTGCTTATGTGGCCATGAACTACTTGAAACGGTTGATGAGTAAACTACTTGTTCACAACGGCTAAAACAGTCACAACGTATGTTTTTATTAAGAATCTGCTGCGTAACATTTTCAAAGCACTCTTCATCATCGTCAAAGTCACAATATCTCTCGTCTGCTGGATTTACCGCGCCTAATGAGGACCGTAAGCGACATTTGCAGTATTTTATTGTATGTTCCATTTCACATAACGAGTAGCATAAAGGTATAGTGTAGTTCATCTTGTATTTCGCACGAAATTCTAAACCGTCCGTACACTTACCGTATTTACCACCAAGCCTGTCCATTGTTGTCACACGCAAACCCACATGTGTTTCTGTCTTAAAGCCAAGTGTTATTCCTTCTTTCTCAGGCAAAGGGTATGTACCTTTTTCATGTATCACCATGCGAATTCCATACGAGGATGTGAATTGTTCGAGATATTCTTCTGTTTCTATATTAAGAACTATATATAAGCTATTTTTACGACCGCTTCCACGAGCAACAACTTCATCATCGTCAAGTGTGAAACAATTGCCGAACATTCGAGACTGGATTGTTCGAAATTTGCTTCTGGGTAACTTGAAACCTGTTTGTATCAATAGAATATATTTATTTCAAGCCCTTGCATGTTTCGACATTTATCATGAAATTAAATCTAGTGAATTTATATTTACTCTTCCTTAATAATATTTGAATCAATTTTAAGACCCCGTGATTGCTTAGTCCTTGTGCGCTCTCATCTTTTGTGTTTTGTTTGTTTCGTTGGTTATAATTCTTTATGAAATTCACATTTTTCTTTTTAGATTGCAATATTCAACAAATACTTAAATTGGAAAAATGCGTGCAAAGATCCTTGATAAATATCAGACTTCTTTTAAATTATTCAAACAATTATAGTGTTTAAAATTTAATCATAAACAATCTATAACTATGTGTAAAGACATTTATATTAAGGAAAAGTACATTAACTTGATGTAAGATATACATTTACCAGAGAATGATGCACTGTGAATGAAGTCTTCTTTCTGATGTCCGGCCTTTAATCTTTCCTCATCGGTTAATTTTTCAAATTCTGTCAAAAATCTTGTTTTCCAATCATCAAATTTATCTTTAGTATTATTGTACAATTCTTCTTCTGGTTCATTTGAAAATATCGCAGAATAAATGGCCTGTTGTGTATACAGATTTAATTCACTTATATTAGTGAAATTATCAATGTACTCCTGTTTCATTGGATTCATATTACAAAACGTTATGGCGGGAAACGGTAAGTTGTTATTAATAATTTTTCACTTCTCACGATCAAGAGTGCTCCCCCCACTAGATGTTTAATTTTCGATATAGTTAGTGCTGAAATTAATCGCGAACAAACCAAAGAGGCTTACTGAAAGACACACAGAACTACAAGGCTGAAAGTCCAAAAACAAGATGCAAATACAATTGAGCAATATGACTTATTTTAATGTAAGATATACATTTTAAAAAATCATTACGAAGGCAATCCGTGATACATATATACAGAACTTTTTTTTATTCTAGTTTGATTTTGTAGGAAGCTATGCGAGACATTTTGTGACCAAATTTAACACATATATAGACAAATGGTGATATATGACTATGTTGTATATTTGATCTTATTATCAGTATTTACTAAATAAATGTAACGAAAGTTCATTTATTTTTATCCATCATCATAAGCTTATACAAACACGTTTGAATCTAACAATACTTAGCAATGAAAGTAAAGTTTTTTGCTCAAAGATTAACGTCTTGCCACTGATGGAATTTGAATCCAAATGCAGCTAGCGATCTTAAGAATACTAATCTGATAGTAATTAATTAAAGCCAAAATTAAACAAGCATAAACTACAAATTAAAAAAAAACACCCTTAGTCAACACCAATATATCTATCAGCAAATCACAACGTGCTGCTTTATCTATCTTGTAATGCATATTGTTTGAAAAAAATGTACTTACCTAACATAAGAAGAAGCCATAAAATCTTGATTATGATTTGTTGCGAGGTTATTACTTTAGAAATTCCATGCAGAGAGCTTGTCTTGGCCAGCTCTGATAACAGTTTTGGTAAGTCGTCATTTTCCTCCTTTTCACTACTCATGGCGACAATTGCAATTTAAGTATCCACGATTTAATTGAAAAAACAATCTAACATTTGATGCGTTTCTTAGTCTATTGTTAAATATTTATAGATGCATAAATGTGACAATTACGTAATTACTTTTTTCTATTATTATCTGGGTAGTTTTCCAATGAATTATTTACAGCAAATAACAATTTTCCATAAACTAGTATTACAAATATTTATCTTAAACATGCTTAATAATTTTCATGAAGAACAATTAGATCTATATCAAAGGTCTCGTGCGTCCATTGTTTATACCCGATCGTTTAGTTAATGGAAAGAGAGAAAATTAAATTGTTCGCCCGAGGTTTTAAACACGTATAGTCACATGCGTTCTCTTCTTAACTAACCAGAGTTAATTTAGATCAAAACGAAATGAAATGGTTTTAATAAATGAAAGTTGTACTATATAAGACCATCAGGGAATTGTTAAATTTACAAATGATAGAGATATGGGTTATCAAAGATAAAAAATAGCTGAAGCAAATTAAGACCTTTAACAACAATAATATCAAATCAATATTTTACGTTAAGTTATATCATTTTTATACCACATTTGGACCGTTTTATGTTTAATATTACGTAATCCAAAATTACTGAGACAGTTTCTGGACGGATATTTTGACTGAATAAATTTAGAACAAATAATAATTTTCCCTATATAAATCACACACCCGGTTACCAATACATTAAACTGTGCATAAGGTTTGAACCAAAAAGAAAAAAATATCCGCACCTTCCTGTACGTTACTGGGAAAATGATTATTATGAAACTGTTTTTTTTTGTGCGTGAAGCAACATGAAGTTTACCTTTGCTTTTCTGCCTGTTGATTAGAAAGCTTTCTATTTATCATGTATTTCAACTGATAGGTGTACCCTACAATTGTTTTGCACTTGACTACATTTCATTAAAAAGCAGTAAACAGATTGTTAATATGTTGAAGGCTTTCTTATAGTGACGATTCTATATTTAGTTAAATACATCAAATATCCATTTCGTAAGTGTGGTCTTAAATTCTTAACTTCCATTTGTATATATAATATGCCACAATTAGAGATTAATTCCAAATAAGTGAATATTCCCAAATTTTCTGAGATTCCATTGTTTCCGTTCTTACATATTTTCTCTGACTAATTTGGGCATTTCACGAATTCCCTAAACTTTCAGAGTTTACGTAAAATCTCTGATTACACTTTTTCCCTTTTCCTGTAACATGCGTTATAAAACAAAGAAAAAGTCAAGACTTTTGTTCTTTTCTATTTTGTTTCTTGATAAAAATTATTCTACTTATTCTTCTTTATTCTTGGAATAAATCTTCTTTGAGAGTATAAGACAGACATCCCCTGCGTTCGCAAAGAAACGTTCTAAAACTTTTAAACTCCGTGTTACATCATCATGTTGTACGATAGAGCTATATTTGATTAATAATAATAATTATATCAATTATTATATAATGTTTCATATATTAGAAACAGAAGTATTTTAATTTTATGTTTATTTTTAAAATTTCTCATGGAAACTCTTTACCAAATACGCTCTTACAAAGAATATAAAGTGCCGTAATGTCGAAGATGACATTCATTTCAACGATTACACATGAAAATTCCAAGATAATAAAAACTTTGATTAATGCCACGTGAATTTTAATGTTGCTGTGGATAGCATCAATATAAAATGAACTTTTGATACAGTAGGTTCATTAAATACCTGTTCGTCAAAAGTTTATGATCACATTACACTCAATTTAGTATGTACACGATATTCCCTTGTTGTTTACAGTTATATAGAATAATCATTACATGACATTGCTTAATTAAATAGATTCTAATATAGCAAGCAACGCAATATTGAATTTTATTGGACGAGAAACAGCTATAAAACCTGGGCGAGTGGCTATAAGTTTTGTCGGAGACCAATAAAATCCGTATTGTACTCTTTATTTCACACCACCACTTTTTTACAGAACGTTGCTTACATTAAAAACAATCAAAGTTTATTGCAGAAGACATCTAGTCAAAAAAATAAAGCACATATTAGACAGAATTTAAAGAAGCATTTACAATATGTATCAGAGTACAGGAATGAGTAATTAACGGCGACAAGCATAGTTACTTTGATCACTATCAATTTGAAATTTGATATAGATTTTTGAATCGAAAAATTATAACGAGACTAGTTGGATGGGAACATTATGAATTTGATATGAATTTGTTTGGACTTTGAAAATGACACCGATGCAAAAATGAAAAGATTGGATACAATTATGATTTATATTGCAAGATCATATAGTGCGAATGCTCGAAATACATTGGTTACAAAACTTAAGGTGTGCAATAAACATCTTTATTTTTTAATTCAATCCCACAACATAGATATCATGATTTAATTTTCTTGAAGCGCTTTTCACAATTCACAAATGTATGAACCTTTGCCCTTAACGTCATATAGTTTTTTTTGGAAAAAATAGTTGAAATACTTATACAAAAACAAAACAAACAATTAATCAAACTTCATGTATAAAATACTGATGGAATTCAACATCCACTTTCCATTGATGACTTAGACACCACGAATCTAAAAAGAACCCATCTACTGCAACCAAACCCTAGTGAGATTGATATGGCAATATCTTTGTAGCTGTTATCCTATAAAAATAGAACGACGACGACTCAAGATGCACTATCTTTCAATCAACCTCAATCTACCTTGTAAAATAAGTAAAGGTTAATGATGAAAGCATTAATTCAGAAAGACTCCAATGTTCTTATAGATTCATCATGGAATTTTTTAAGCAAAGCATACGTACTTATGTGTAGGAGCCGGTCACATTCTGTAGCAATTTTCTTCGGAATATTAAATTAATGGATAAAATGATTATAAAACACGAATAGTACATAGTTTTTAAAAAAAAAAAGTTTCCCTCACTATCAAGTATATAGTGGCTAAGTTGAGCAGAACTTTGTATTAAAAGTCAAAAGCTTCTAGCTTAGGCCTAGCCTATATACACATGCCAAGGAATAATATTTATGTTACTACCGGAGCGTTCAAATATTACATACATTTACTTTTTTACTTAATTATTACTTAAACATTGACAAACATTGATTTTACAGGAACATATCGCATTTGGGTACTTTCCCGACTTGTTCGATCCTAGCCTAGCAAAGACTACTTGTGTAGTCAGATCATAACATTTTTTATCGTAACACTTTCATAATATTTTGCTTTTCTATGAAAATAATTAAATTCTAAAATTATATCTGTACTACGTTTGTTTGAGCCAATATTATTACTACAAACGTTTTAATATTTTTTACAAAAAAGTAAATTTTTTCCTATAAAAGACAATACGTTTAAAGCTAGAGAAATCTTTTTTTGTTAAACTGATAATATTACGGATGTATATAAATGCAAGAATGTAGTTAAAAAACTATTTTCATACCCTTTTTTAAAATATTATGCATGTGCAATGTCCAATATTCTAAAAGTGTGACGCTCCAAAGGTGACAATTGAAGAAGAAAATGTTTGTAAAAATCAAATGGCAATTACAAGGGTTGTTGGATTTGCATAATTGAAGAGCTAACGTAACCCAGAATGTGTCGTATCTAATAACTAGAAATGCTCATTTGCCTATAAACGGGTTACAGGAAATTGATTTTAACGCGACAGGATACAAACATTATGCTCGATGTTCCTTGAAATAACTACAAGATAATGGAATTGTTTTCTTCTGAGAGATTGTCAGTCATCAAAATGGTTGCTTGTCAATGAATTTTTAAAGTTGATTCACATATTTGTAGGCTGTTGTTAATAACATGTTACTTTTAATGTATATAGAAATAAAATAAGTGTAACCTTATAACTATGCAACTATTATTACAGTTGGTAAAAATAGTGAAGAAAAGAATCAAACAACCACAAAGATGATTTAAAATATTAACATGATTATTGAGTAAGTTTCCTTTGTTATATCAGCAAATCTAAAAAAGTAAGTTTTATTTTATTTTCTATGTGTGACGTACATATTTTTAATTACATTGTTACGGCTATAATATTTATATATCAAACAGTAAGGGGACTTCAGTTTTATCGAAAGGAAAGAAAATCACATTTGTTGATTTGTTTCCCCTTGATTGTAAGTGTATTATTTCATATTTATTTAAATGCTCTTTGGTTTTGGTATCAAAGTAGTAACTGTAAAACTTTATTCGCATCCGCAGCATCCTTTTCTAAACAAAATATTTTGAATAAGTATATCAGTTAGGTTTAAATTTTGTCTGGCAAAATTAACGAATGACTACAAAAACATAAACATTCACTTGATGTAACAAATGCAGTAACGTCAAAGTTATACTATATCTCAATTCAGTACAAATCCTAGCTTTTCTAGGAGTACAATTAACTTTCTCAAAGGCATGGCTGATGAAAATAAAACATGTTTTGTTTCGTTCAGAATATTGTAAAATCAATATCAAATCTTTTGTAATTAATTTCCATCTGTATGGAATGCATCTGTAGGGTTTTCATTTAATTATTTAAGAAATAGTATATTCCAAACAGTGATTTTATCGCTCAATAACATCACTGTTTGGAGTTCAGATGCGAGGAATTATATCAGGAGGGCGTAGCCCGAGTGATATAATAATGCGCATCCGAACGACAAACAGTGATGTTATCAGGCGATAAAATCACCGATTTGGATATATTATTTCGATTCTAACACGACATCAACAAAATAAATGCTGCCGTACCTGATATAGCTAAATTGCGCCTGATTTGTTTCCGTACTTATTGTCAGCGCGTCACATTTTTAGTGGTTAAGTCACGTGTATAATGATAACGTCACTTGTCTAAATATAGAACGTCAAGCAGTGATTTTATATGATAATAGCAATAGCATTGACGTTGCCATGAAGTAACTGTTTAATGTATGATTATATAATAACTGATTAACAAATAAAATTGTTTTATCATGCCAATTATCCGTTTATTCATTGCTGCACTTAACAGTATGTACGCATTAAAATCAAATTCTGTAGCAATACATCGCCATTTAAACGAAATAAACTCCTTTTAAACATCATTTATTCACTAAATGTGTCAACAGATTGACACAAATGATGATAATTGTATTTTCATTCCGGTTGAAAATGGAAAATAAATTGCAAGAATCAATGTTTCGACCATATAAAACAATTATCGAAATGCATTTACTGCACTTTATTTCCTTGCACAGGTTGTTTATGGTTTTGTTTATTACTGGGGTTTCCGTTATGTGTGCATTTATACTGTACCAATGGTAGAATTTTTTTACATTTCCGTCACAGCAAATTGCATTTTTGTTGCATTTATTTATAGTTAATCTATATTTTCTCATGCACTTTGTTAGGATAAATGATTGTTGAACAGGGAAAGAATATCTATATATTTTATGTGTAATGCTGAATTAAGCATTCTTTATTTAGTATTTAACGGGGTGTAATTAATCATGTGTTAATTACTTAAGAAAGCTCGTTGAACAATCTCGTAAACAAAAGTCTTGACAAACAAAAAGATAAATTGTACACTAATGTCTAGTCTTTTTTAATCTCTTAGCGTAAAAGTCTACACAAAACAACAACAACGACATCCATACTCACAAATAAAAAACCCTTATGTTGATGGATATGAAAACTTACTGTTTTACATTGTCAGAATTAATGCTTTGTCAACAAATTTAATTGCAGTGTTCACTTTAAGGACCAGCAATTACCAAAAGTAAATGCACAACACGACTTGCCAAGACAGTCTGAAATGTCGATTTACTTCAACATCGATCCACCATGAGTGTAAACGTTGGAAAACAAAACGAATACTCTCTAAATCGAATTAGTGATTTCTTGATTCAGAAACTAAATGAAAAAGGTTATAAAATTTGATGGTGAGATTACAGACATAAACAAAATTGCAGGTCTGCAAGTGCCATAAATTATCCATTGAAGGTAACGAATAAACGATGTCACGAAACATCTCTAACTAGACGATTAATAATGTTATAGTGAGCAAAGTTAAACCACAACAGCATTCCATTAGTATTGAGGTTACGCTTACGAGGGCTGTTCGAAAAGAATTGCTTATTGTCCTCTATTTCGTGATCCATGTTGGACACGATAAAAACCAATACATACCTGTATAGGGTAATTCAATACCTACACAACGGTGTATAAATGTACATGTTAGACTAAGTGTAATACATACAATTTGCCATTTAAATACACGCAGTCATTGACCACTGTAGTAAAAATGGTTGGTAGAAGCGTCGACAAAAAAGATGAAATACGGGCTTACACCAAAACTCGCTCTTTGAAGCAGTTGATGACTGAACTCTCTACTGATTATGGACCTTATTGTGTGTCATATGACACAGTTAGGCGATGGAAAAAGAAAATTTGAGTCTGGTGAAGAGTGCATCAAAAATGCACCAACATCATGTAGGCCATAATCTGCATCTCGTAACGAACTCGTTTCGAAATATAGGATATCATTGAAGGATATGCCACATTTACAGTTGATATTGCACGAAAGGTATCACTATCAACGGTTCACTGCAGAAAGATTTCTGCTAGATGGGTGCCACATCTGTTGACCGATGAGCAAAAGAGGTAAGGGGTTAAGGTGGCCAAATAGCTGCTTCAAATGCTTCCAAAATATGACAAAAACATGTGGCTAATGTCGTCACAGGTGATGAAACTTGGGTCCATTATTTCGAGCCCGTCAGAAAAGTCAGCAACAAAATCTGGGCCACTAAACACAACAAACGCCCAATAAATGCCAAACGGTCTTTGAGTACAAAGAAGGTTTTGTATTCAATTTTCTTCTCTGGTGAAGGAGTCGCAATAAAAGTGCCGGTGCAAAAGGGCAAACGTATCACTGGGAAGTACTACAAATACGTAGTACTTAAGAAACTGAAAAGTTATTATAAGAAACGACGCCCTGTCACCGGTTTTAAGCATTTCCGTCTTGGTTTTAAGCATATCCATCTTCTCAATAAAATGCCCCCGCTCATACCTCCGCAATAGTTTCGCCGTTTTCGAAAAAGAGAAAAAGTAACTGTTTTGCCTCACCCCCCGTATTCTCCAGACATTGCCCCATGTGATTTCTTTTTGTTTCCGAAATTGAAATTCTTCCATGCTGGGTGGAAATACAAGTCCCGACAGGCACTTGGATCTGCCATTCATCAGTACCTTATTATTGGGCCCAAGTCAGCGTACTGTGACGCCTTCAAGAAGTGGATACATCTGCTGAAACTTTGCATTTCTAGCCACGGGAAGTACTTCGAGGGCATGAAATGAACACTTTTGAGCTAACTTGAAATTTGAAGTCTCCAGATAGAAATAAGCAATACATTTCGAACCTACCTCGTAGATAAATTACATTTTTGAAAATAATATTAAGATTTAAAGATGACATACCATTGTTTTTTTTCTTGTATTTTTTTTTTTGGGGGGGGGGGGAGGAAGTTAGATATAATTCTGTTGGAAATTGCAGCAGTGGGATATTGTTTTTTTTTCAATAATTCCTAAGCTATTTTGCTTAGAATAACATTACTTCTGTTACGTGCTTTGTTAATTATATTGTTCAAATTATAAAATATGAAATTGATGAATAGAAATGAATGAAAAATTGAATGTTTTAATGTTAAATATTGTAACTATGTTGAAAAAGATAAATAAAATCAGTACAATGTTTCATATTAAATTTCCATTTATGAAATATAGAAAGGTTTTTACTGTGTTTGTTTTGTTGTTGTTGTTTTATTTTGGGCGGGGGAAGGTGCTGTTTGTTTTTTGTTGCTTTCTTTTCTGTTCTTTTTTCTAAAAAAATGTAAGTAGCATTGCTGAAACAGTAGTGTATTTTGAACCACGAAAATATAACGCTCAACAATCTGAATGTGTGATGCAATTTGTCTTTGATTTTCGCCTATTAAACAATTACAAATTAAACTAGCAGTTAATAAAACTTTTTAATAAACAGTGTAAATGTGTAACATACTTACAAATGAATCCAGAGAAGCCAACACGGCTTTCTAAAAATAATTAATTTTTATGACAGCCAACAACGTTAAAATATAAAGGGCATCTATTCCTCATTAAAACAATTATAATTATAAACCACAATGTTTAAATGTTTTCAACCAAGTTTTATTTCAAAATGATGTAGACTTTGATATGCACATTAAGAACGTATGCATAAGATTCTTGGAAATACTTCCAATATTTCAATATATCGAACATTCTGTATGTTGTTTAAACAAGCGAGGAGTGACAAACATTTATAACTTGTGTCAATAAATAGCTGTTTCATACTCTAGTCTATTTTTGCATAACGGTTGATATGAAAACTTTTTGTTCTTCGGATCAGAGCGACAGATTTATGAATGTTACTGTCATGTTGCGTTATCTTAATACACGAAGACAAACAACCTAAGTAAGATGATGTTATACAAAATGAAAGAATGACAATAGTTTTAAAAAGAAGTTAGAATAGGGCCCGTAAGTCTCGTTTACTTTCACTTTCGATTTACCACTTCCGGGTACATCGGCAGACTTATTTACCGTTACGCATATAGGTAACCCGAAAAACTCGAGGGATATAGAAGTTAAATTTGTTTCGGTCCTCTTCAGATTTGAAGGTATGGATAGCACGGGTCAAAAAATGCAGGTAGGTCAATTATCTGACGGAAAAACGAGGGATTTATAGAGTTTAATAAAACTAGTTTATTTTCGGATAGTGACAATTGTTTCGGATGTTTTGTCAAGGGAGTGAATTCTAGTTGTTTAGCTTTAAGTATTGTTTTAAAACTACTGATGTGAGAAATTAATTCAAACCATTTTAACTTATTGAAATTAACAGTGGAGAAACACTTTAATTCTAGTGTATATTAAAGTTATACAAAATTCGGACATTGCACAGTAATTCGGATATTTTTCCCTTCCATTTTATTCTTCTTCCTTTTTCAATTATATATACATGTTAATATGGTACCTAGCAAATTATGATTGAATTAAAACATATAATATTTGATTAAACCATTTCAGATGTATAGACAAGGGGGTATATGACAAGTATAGAATGTATACAGTTGTTCAATATGGACCATTAATCAACTGTTTGCACTGCCTATGATCCTGAAATATCTATACATCAAAGGTAAATACATGTAAAATAATTGATTAATTTTTAGTTGAGATCGGAAAGATAAACAATTATCAAAATATATTATTATAATTTAATAACTTTTGGATTTCACTGCATGATAATTGATTAGTAAATAAAACATTAAAAATAGTCATGTTTCATATTCAAGAAGATCAATATTTTTGACTGTTATATATTATGTGTTGTTGTTTATCTTTAATGATTATTTACTTCAAATATGAAATTTTTCTGTCAATCATGACCAGCTTATTAAATGTAATGTAAATATCATTTCTAGTGTCTTACACTTGTAACAACATATTTATTGATTTTTCATTCTGCAGATAAAAAGGGAAAAGATGAAGGAGGATTTGTCCATGAAGACCTTTATTGCAACTACCATCTTCCAGTTCCTTAATTTGAGAATGATATCAGAGAACACACAGTTACAGTGAAATATTAGTTTAATATAAGCCACTGAGAATAGTCAAATGTACTTTCCTGAAGAAGATGAATGACATCCAGCACAAAAATCTTAATGTATAAGTATGATTTTATGGTGTTTGACACTATGATCTTGTTAACATGTTAATGTCAGAGTAAAATATCCACATTTCATTGCAGTTTTAAGTATTAAAACTAGATACTCTATATATACCAAAGCTGAAAACACAGCTGAAAACACACCAGAGATAAGGTTTTTTCATGGAATCACAGTATAGTCATATGACATTATGGACATTAAATGACTATGAAGTAAAGATTAGCAAAAATATTATATATATCATCTACTACTATTGTGAGGTAATCATTGATAAGCTCACAAATTTGCAATCAAAGCTTTGATATCAAGCTGAACATTTTTCAATTAGAATATGATTTATAACTCTTAGTATGATAATTTGTACATGTTAATTTTCAAAGTCTTTACATTTGTAAAAGGAAATATTCTTATTCTTGTATCAGTAGACATTCACAGTGTAAAGTTACATTGTCCAAATAACTAATAATAATTCCAAGTGCTTTCCTGAAGTTTTTCTTCCTCTGGAAAATCAGTGTGATATATATGCTAAGCAGTGCACTATAAATTGTGTAAAAATAAAAGTTTATTAAACTTATGAACTGTTTTTTGTTTCTACTATTTGGCATTTATTTATAGCAGTGCTTGATCATAAGAGTTCATCTGCAAAATATGTGTCACTGTGTACTTTAATTCTCTAACAGCAATGGCTAGATTGCTTGAATATGCAAGCATTGACTATATTAAATACTATGCATGTCATTTGAATTTTGTCTGTCCTGAAATCGAAACAGACACTATCTAAATAATATTGATGAAAAGTTCTTGACAGCTCTTCAATGACTACATTTACACATATGTACATGGACAGAAGTTAAAAGCATTGTGTGGTGTTTTTTTTGTTGAAACATTGACAATTTTGAAACAGTTCCCATGGGTATATTAATGTATCAGTGATGTAATTGTTTTGTATCAAGTGCAAACCCTAAGTTTTGCATGTATTGTATAGATAATTCACTTTTGGTCAAATGTCAACAGGTTCAATACATAATAAAACAGGTAATTTGAAACCCAAAGAAGTATATGGTATGAAATAACTACCCCTCTGATACTAAAATCTTCAAGGAATGCAGAATTGCAAGTCTTCTCCAATTAAGAGAGAGAATTGGGTTTACAAGGGCTAGCAAGCTAGTGTTTTGCTACAGAATACTCAACACAGATGAATTGCAGTAATATTGTTTACTCTGGTATTACTACCTGCCATGAACAATGCAAATAATGGCTTTTCTAAGAGCAGTGAAAGGCTATAACTGGAAGGAATTTTACACATCTTGCCTCAGAAACAAGTTTTTCTTTGAGATGACTTTTATGATATTTAAATAATGGTTAAAGATTACATTACTTTTACAATTGCAGTGATCATGGTGATAATATGAAATGAAACTCAATCAAGATAGAAACATTTTAATGCTGAACATTTATCTTTTTACCATTCCTGTTAATTTACAAGTCTATTTATAACAAATTTATCTTAACTGTTTTGAAACTACATGATGCCTGGTTGAAACTGTTTTGGGCAGCTATTTGCAGAAGATAAATTATCTTTGAATAATTAAGTTAATACAAAGTTACAAATGACAGGTTATTTATTTCTAATAAAGACAGGTTATTTATTTCTAACAAAGACAGATATTTTGTTTAACATTTTTACACTGACATACATCTTTGAAGTGTCTTCAACCTTAGTTTTTATTAGAATACAAACATTCAGTCAGACAGTTTACACAAGACATGGAGCTTTAAGAAGCTAATTTAATTCAGTCAAAATCTGTAATGGACTGCCATGTCTCTACCACTATGTACTCCAAGTCTATGCATGGACATTTCCTTTCCACTATGCCTGGTGGTATCACTATTTGATTTCTAATCTGATGGTGAACACTCCAAAATAAATCAAGAGCCATGACAAGTACTCAAGATCCAACCATGAAATCACATACCTGTATATAAAGAAAATTTATCATGAGTTGAAAGCAAAAATAATTGGTCAGCTATAAATTTCAATCATTTTCATATTGTCATGAATAGAAAAAAATGTTGAAAAGGAAGAAACACTTCTTGGTGTCCTAGTTTTTGTAGATTTGCTTTGACAACTGATCTTTAAAAAATGTGATAGTGACTAAGTTCTTTTAACCATTTACTGAACATGATTTAACTAAAAAATATGACCCATTTACTTGAGAAAAATACTTTAAACAGTATTTAACATGAATTAACTACATATGCCATACTGTTTGTTTATTTAGCTAACTGTAATTATTTACAAAAACGAGAACATTATATGTTATACAATAATATTTATTTTTCATTAATGTAGTTTAAGTAGCTTTAAGTATATATTTCTTACCAAAACGATTTTACAGCAGAGCATGCATGTGTATTTACAATGGATACTGATGTATTTCATCTCACCACTGTCCTCAGTCAAAATATCTACAGGAGCAAAATATTTCATTGAATTTTATGACAATTTAAATTGGTTATATACAGCTTGACTGTTTGTGCTTTATAAAGATAATAATTATAAATAAATAATATTTTCAGTTGGAAGTAAATATATTCAACTAAAACACACTGATAATCATATTGAAACGTTTATCCGAAATATGCGCTGTCCGAAATTTCTAAACATTATATACTTCTGAGAGATAATCAGGTAGCGCTATAGAAAATTGATAAAATCAAATGCACCTGTCTGGTGTCAGATGCGAATGATGTTGTATCAAAAAACAAATTTATTAGATTTACATGGAAATGAAAATATTACAACATTTATTGGGATAAACTGAATTTGAAATGACACACCCACCTGAAGATTATACGAAGTTGTCTTTTATTGATACTTGTTCACAAGATGAAACCATTTGCATTTCGTTACAAAACAAAAAACTGCCAATTTCCACATATCATTTGCTTTTCCATGTAAGTTTTACTTTCCCACCGGCATACAAGTAGTATATAATATTACCCAATATAGATATGCAATGTTGTTGATATTTGTTTGTACCCGGAAGTGCAAAATATCGTGAAATCTCGCAAGTCACATGACGAGACTTACATACCCTATTGGCGAATTGGTGAATTACTATTGATAATGCTAGAACACGCGGCGTCATAGCCACAGTTGTTGTCTACTACCAAATTTTCTTCTACTTTCATACTTAAATCTCCAAACCTCAACAATATATGATTGATCCCGCTTTATTTTTGATCACATCCTACCAGCGTGATAGATTTTGGCTTATCAAACTTAGTTGCAGCATGTTAAGACGCAGCAAATTGGTCTTTTGAGGTAAATGCGTTTAGGATTAAAGCCTACTTTAAATGCCTTTTATTTCCACAAACAAATGAAAGTGATCAAACTATCTTATTTCTTCCTGTTAAAGGCTGGTAATAATAAATAAACTTAATATCTAAACATGTTCTAAATATTAGTCAAATGTTCATAAAGTGAACATGCGATACAAGAATATTATCTTGTTTAAATATTTAATAAATTAATCGATTTTTGTGTGTGAAATAATATATTTTAGGAAGAATTATTTCTTTTTGGTAGCCAGTAATCTGTAATGATTTGAAATCAAAACAAATGAGTGAATATCATTTTACAAACATGATGAACTGGATTCATTAGCTGTCGAACATGATATCCATATTTGAGATAACGTATGCAAGAAATATGAAAGATCGAAATGTTTTTAACATGCACGAGATATTATTTTTGTTCGATTTGTAGTCTCCAAGACCGAGACCGGTTTCTCGTCTCCATTTTATATCAGCAAGCATGATTTTCCAGTCGAAACAATTCGCAAACAGGATGTAAAATCTCTTTCTATATAGAAACCTAATTATTTTGGCATCGTCGGAAAATCTAACACGTTCATGTGTGCCATCAGATAAATGTTACTGCAAAAATATATGGTTACTACCGGTAAATGAATTATAACAAATATCGATGTATATGTATAAACAAGTTTTGTTGAAATAAAAAAAACCTTCAATATGATTTTAGCAAATTTCTAACATATTTGCTCTATTTTCTATTGAGGAAAAGGTAATTTTGGTTTATATAGAATTCATTTTAGTTCGAATATGTAGGAAGCTACAAGCTTATAGACACATTTTCGAATCCGTTCCTCGAACCAGTCAGTACTGAGCAATGAGTGTGAACCTTCTTGCTCATTGAGCTCTAGCCGGCTAGCGAACACTGTAGTTGACAATTTTACTTGTAAGTCAGTAGATGCTGTAAAATAAACTGTCATTAACTCATTGACGAAGAACACATTTATCAAACTGTGCCTGTATATTAAGGCATAGTTTGTGAAAAAGTATCGTAAACGTTAAGCTGATTAACCGTAACAAATATCTTCATAAACTCAAAAACAAAAGATGTCATGTAAATGTGAACAAAGACGTAATAAGATGGTCTGTTCCTGCATCAGAATTAAGCAAATGATGCAAACAATAATGATGTAGACATCCTTATGATTTAAAAATTGCACTCTTAACACTGCACTTTCTGAAGATTTTTATGTCTGCGATGTGTCTGTGCATTATCTTTAAAATCTGACGAGATATAAATGTCATGAACAAGTTGCTTTATTATCTGTTGCTGTTTCCTGTCTTCAGTATTTTTAGATTAAACACCCTGTGTGTGTGTTTGTACTGCAACTACATAACAACTGAGTGTGTGCTTGTTACCATAATTACTGATGGTCCGAAATTCACCGTATGAGTATATCTGTACATTGAGTCTTAAAATCATGTAGTTCTACATATTCTGTTCACTCAATTTCATTTATTATATATAATTGATTTAGAACTACCTTGTGCTAGGTAATTGATTATGAAAATAAGGGAATTACATGAAGGAATGACATGTGGTATCTAAAATTATTGTGCATAAATACCAAGCCGTTTAACACCTCTCCATGTATACGCCCAACGTACTGAAATCAATAAATTATCCATATACGCAATTATTTT